GGAGCGACAATATCTGCAAAACCGCAGTGGCTTGATTCTTCAGCGCTATTATGACTCTAAGAACCACCAAAAACGTCCTGTAGGCACTGGAAGGTGAGGAACTGTTGGTTGGTTGGTTTTTCCCCCATTCTTTTTCCAGAGTTACTCTGAAACCTTAGAGCTGTTTTTTTCAGATACATGTCTTTTATAGATCTCTTACCGTTACTGCCATCTCTTGTCCTCATTTTGACAGTATGCAGGAGCTAAAAGAGAGGATCAGACAACGCACTAACCTGCCTCTGGGACCCAGTATCGACACACATGGAGAGACTTTCCTCTCACAAGAGGTTGTAGTCAACCTGTTGCAGGAAACCCGACATGCCTTTGAAAGATGCAACAAGGTATATGAATTTTAAGCACTACTTTAGTACAAAAACACCTCTAGTCTTTTGTTTCTGTTGGAAGTTGTGGGCTGATATTAGCATGATAGATAATTTTTCTGTCTTTGTTGCAGTTGTCAGACCCAGCAGATCTACCAAAAAATGCCTTCTCCATTTTCCTGCTTTTGGTGGAGTACCTGTGTGTGGACCATATAGACTATGCGCTTGAGATTGGGCTGTCAGGTATGGCAAACACAGAATGGTTGATAGTAAAATGTTGCACAGTAATGCAATTACTGGTTTGTTCAAATCAAGGTTATTATCGTAAGCTAAACTGAAAAAGTTGAAAATTTAATTTGAAAAAACATTTATTAACTGACATAAATAACTAGAAAATATTAACATGACTTTCTAAAAATGGTAATAAAATAAAATAAAAAAGGTTAGTAAATAAATAAAATAAACGTCCATCTAGAACAGGGGTGTCAAACTCAATTCCTGGAGGGCCGGAGCCCTGCAGAGTTTAGATTCAACCCTAATTAAACACATCTGATCCAACTAATCAAATCCTTCAGGCTTATTTGAAAACTACATGAAATGTGTGTTGGAGTAGGGTTGGAATAAAACTCTGCAAGGCTCCGGCCCTCTAGGCATTGAGTTTGACACCCCTGATCTAGAGAAAACCTAAATATCAGGGAATTTTCAGATTAAAATATTTAAATAATGGAAATTTCTATTGTGAATGTCATTTTATCTAGTTATGCTCTGTTCTAACATATTTAATCAGATAGATATTGCTCTTATATAGCGTTAAACTTGCTAAGATAAAAGACAATGATGTGTGAACCAGACAAGTTCACAAGATTGTCTGAATTATTTATTATTGAATCAGTCTGAAAATGAATTAAAATAAGTTTTAAAAAATATTAACCAAATAATCTCCATGACCCCATGAGAAATCATAGAAATTTGTTAGTGCAGTGGGAACTATGTTATTTACAAATTGGGGGAATCCAGATACTGTATACAGTCCATTACACAAAAAGCATGTTTTCCCGTCAATATAAAAACTAAATTAAAAACTATAATGTACTGAAAAACATTAAAAATGTAAAACTATTACAGCCTTGGTTTAAATGGAGTTGAAGTCAAATTGACACAATGATCTATTTTTTATTTATTTTTTTCTGAAAAAGACAGGAGCTTTTTAGTGAAACATAATGAAATACAAATGATACCCATTAGATGTTTAATTAATTTGCGTGTTTTATGATTCTTGTAATCCTACAAAGTGGATTTCTTGTAGTCATTCAAATTCTTGTAGTCCTGCAGAATTTTACAGAGTTGTGCAGTTCAGTTTAGTCCCTGTCAGCTAGTCATGGGTCACATGGTTTATGTTGAGTTTGTTCTTTACATGATGACCACAGGAAGAAGATTCATTTATCCACAAGTGTGTCGCAGTGTAGCTGTGTGCCATTAGGTTTAAGTAGTAAGCTATTATTATGTGTAAGTGAAACTGTAGTGCTTTGCATTCACAAAAATCAAGTCAAGAGAGGCAATGAGAGTTCATTTAAAGTTCCTTACTCCAACATTGTGATGCTGATGTGGTAAATATGATCATTCTTACATGACTTGAAGGCAGCATTAGCTCCACTGCTAATCAGACACATTTGCACCAAATCACATGAATGCATCTGAAGTGGACTTTACACAACAATATTCTTTTATTTGTATTTTGACTTGCACAGCCATCCCATCTCCAGATGCCAAAAATGCCAACCTCTACTTTTTGGATGTGGTTCAGCAGGCCAACACAATCTTTCACCTCTTTGATAAGCAGTTTAATGATCATCTTATGCCTCTTATTAGGTGAGTTTGACCGACTTTGTTTTACTAGCTTTTGTCTCTGCGCTTTGATAAGCAGTTTAATGATCATCTTATGCCTCTTATTAGGTGAGTTTGACCGACTTGAAAAGACACCGCTGACTGGTGTCTTTACCGTGACATTTGTTTGAACTCTAACCCCTGTAGCTCCTCTCCTAAGTTGACGGAGTGCCTGCACAAGAAGAAGGAGGTGATCGAACAGATGGAGGTGAAGCTGGACACCGGGATTGATCGGTTGGTTCAAAACTCTCAGAAATCTCTGTTTAATGGAGCTTCATTCTCAATCAAAGCATATCTTTGTCTTCATCGTTGCCATTAAATGCAATTTCTGTGACCTGTTTCCTTGTTTTTAGGACACTAAATTGCATGATAGGCCAGATGAAGCACATCCTGGTGACTGAACAGAAGAAAACAGACTTCAAGCCAGAAGATGAGAACAATGTCATGATACAGTACACTACAGTAAGATCTTAAAATCATGTAATTGTCTTGTGAAACTTATATCAGTGCAGTGAAAAGATTCTGTGAATAACAGCCTGAGAAATATTAAGACTCTGTTAACGCACCGTTAACTCTGTAGAAGAATTTTTAGTATTAGTAGCCACATTCTGCTTGATTTTGTTGTGTGTAATATGTAATCTGTCCTGTGCTCTTTCTTCAAGGCATGCTCAAAGGTGTGTGCCTATGTGAGCAAGCAGGTGGAGCGTGTGCGGCGGTCCATGGATGGTAAGAATGTGGACACAGTCTTGACTGAGCTGGGAGTGCGGTTCCATAGGCTGATCCACGAGCACCTGCAGCAGTTCAGCTACAGCTCCATGGGTGGTATGCTAGCCATCTGTGATGTGGCAGAATACCGCCGCTCTGCCAAAGATTTCAGGGTAAGGAGAGGTCAAAGGTCTTGTTTTTGCCACCTCATGGCATTATGTATATTTTATTCAGCAATTACTCACTCTCATCTTGTTCCAAACCCATAAGACTTTCATTCATCTTTGAAACACAAATGAAAATATTTTTAACGAAACTGAGAGATTTCTTTGCCTCCGTTAAATTTCCTCAAAACTTTACCGCTTCAAAATGTGCATAAAGACATTGTAAAAGTCATCAATTTGAATGGATGGATTCAAATTCTTTTGAAGAGACAAGATCACTTGAATGTGATAAAAAATATTTAATTTAGACTTTTATTCACATAAAAGCATTGATCAGTGCACATACATATTTGAGCTCATCAAATATAGTAAAAGCTGAACCGTAAGTGCTTGACATGCACCAGCCTCATTGGTTCTAATGGAACCTCAAACATGCTTGCGTAACATGCAAGAAGAGACATCTTTGGCTTTGTATTATAACCAGATCCACGCAAAGCTGGGAAGGTTTTTCACGTCTTCTGCATGGATTATGAGAGAAAATCTTAATTTAAATTAATTCATATATAGAAAAATGAGATAAAATGCCCTGAATGCTACACTTTATTGATTAGGAATGCAGTATACTTTTTCTATAGCGGATTTCATGTGTGGTGATGCCTTAATTCACTTATTTTAGTATTTACCGTTTTATTTTTCTTTATAAAAAAAATATACTAGTCTGCAAAATGAATAAAGGGGTTGTAATGTCAACTATATATATGGTTTTTTGCCAAAAAATATGCATTAATTATTATAAAATTTATTATTTTAAACAGTTTTCACCTCTTAATATTTTTGTGGATAACAGTGTTGCACATTCATTCAATAGGTTTAAATTTAAAAAAGAAATGAATTAAAGAAATGATTAGTTTTATTCAGCAAGGATTCTTTAAATTAATCAAACGTGGCAGTAAAGAGATTTCATAATGTTAGAAAATATTTCTTTTTCAAATAATTGTTGTTCTTTTGAGAACTTTCTATTCATCAAATAATCTGAAAAAGCTGCCTTTTTTATTTAAAAAAAAAAGGAAATTCCCAATAAAGAGAGAAATTTAATACATTCCTCACCACAACCAACCAGCAATTATTTAAAAAATGGTTCACAACAGTGACATAATTAAAGCTAAACTTCTTGCTTCAATAGATGACATAAACTGTACCTATGCCTCTGCAGGAAAGTTATTATTCATGTGTGTGGTGTTATTGAACAGCATTGTGAATTAAAGTATTTTCATTGAGAAATGGATCAATTCAACAATTTATACTTCTCCAAATATATTAGGTATGCACTAAACAGCTGCATCCAAATCCTCCACAGGTTCCTCTCGTGCTCCAGCTCTTTGACACGCTTCATGCTCTGTGTAACCTCCTGGTTGTTGCCCCGGACAACCTCAAACAGGTGTGCTCTGGAGAGCAGCTGACCAACCTTGACAGGAACCTCCTCCATGCTTTCGTCCAACTGAGAGTAGACTATCGCTCAGCCCGACTGGGACGGCATTTCAGCTAATGACTGGCAGGCCTGCTCAATTACTGCACGGCCTACAGAACTGCCGTCCATTCAGAGCTGCGACAAACACAAGTGGCCAATCTTGAGTGGCTTTTGAACCGCCTTTGTCTGTGATTCAGTGTGGAAATTAAACTTTTGTGTTTAACGAACAAAAGGACAGCTGTTTCAAAGCTCAACACTTCCCAGGTTGCTCAGTTTTAAGTTGTGCGTTTTGTTCTGTATGCAGGATTTAATGTGAGCGTAGTGTTTGGCTCATATTTTGTTTATGATATAATTTTAAAAGGATATATATAGCTTGTAAAAATTATTTTGTTAGGCCCTGGTGCAAACAGCGCGGCCTTTTCCAAACATTTGAGAACTATTTGTTTTGCGTGGCGATTAGCGTTTGCTGGTAGCGAGCGCGGGAAGCGATAACCGTTGAGAGGGAACGGCTGACTCAGGGTGAGTGTGAACGCGGACTGCTGCTGTTGTTTACTGAGGCCTGTGTGTTTGAGCAGGTGGTGAGGATTAGCGGTGCTGTCAACACTGAACGCTGGATGAAGCTCTGCTCACCCTTTCCTCAGTCTGCTCACTAGAGCTCATCATTTTAGCATTTCACTCTCACACACATATCTGAAGAGGTAAGGTTTGTTTGGGGGAAGGAAACCGTTCACAGAAGTTTCCTCATGAGGACTGGTGATCTTTCTCCAGTTGTGGATCAGTAACGTTAGGCTATCCAAAAGTTGTTAAGACATCCAAGTCTACTTTTTCCCACATTTTGTTACAATAGTTAAATTAGCAAACTTTGCAGGAAAGTTCTCCATTAGTTAAATGTTATAGAGTTGTACAAATTGTTTGTTTTTCGAAAGTGTCCAAAAACAATGGTTTGATATTGGTTGAATGTTACCTTCTATATTTTCACAGAAATTGACTTTCAAAAATAAAACTACCCTGAGAAATATTGACTGGAAGAAATAGCCTAGATTTTTGTACCCACTCTAGTGTACATATGAATTAGCTGTGCTTAAATCTAGTAGGCATTTTATGTTTCAGATCTTCGGCACAGAAAACTTGCAGTAAACACATGGGCCAAACTTTCTTATGAAATATATTAGCATTTGCTAATTTAGGCTATTAAATATTATGCATAAACCTGAGCAACAATAGTTATACATACCATCTAATTAGCATATTGCTGATTATTGCTGTTTTTAGCAATAAATACAAATTAAAAATAATAATGAAATTACATTTTTGAAGGGCAAATTATAGTGTCCGGTAAAAACATGCACTGAGTCCTGATGTTCACTGCAGAGGACACTGTATCACATTCAGTCTTGCAAACTAAAATTATACTCTAATATGATGAAAGGGTTATTTACCAGAAACTATATAATTCTAAAATATAAATGCTAGGTGCAAAATAACACATACCTACCACTCTTTTTCCCCGCATACAGCAGATTATTTTTATTTATTTATTTTTTAAAGTAGTTGTTAAAAATATTGTTACAGTCAAACCCCCAACAGTGGCATATATGGCCTCAGAGAAATTCATGAATGTCATATACAGAGAACAAAAAGAAAAGAAAATCTTAAGGTTTTGCATATGTGTTTTGTGTTATATCATATTTGATACATCAGGCCTTTATGGCCTGTATAATATGATATAGTGATAATATGGAGCATATACTCAAGGAGGAAAAACACTGTTTTATTCAGAGGCCCAAGTGGAGCAAAAAAAATTGCATATATATTAATTAGATGGACAAATGATATTTATATACATTTTATGAAATGCATTATATATATATATGAAATTCTGATAGCTTGTAATGTGTTCTTTACAGTAGCAGACTGCTTTCATAAAATGAATATAAATATCAGTTGTCCATCTATATCTCCCAATAATATGTCTTAATAATATGATATTTAAATGCTCGGTTTTATGATTAAAGCTCTGTAGTTTTTTTTTTTGTGGAGGGCAAAACTGAGAATGCAATGCAATACAATGATGATGACTGAGAGAGGTATAAATAAACGTTCCTCAAATGCCTGTTGTGTAATATATATTAGATGCTCACATTTTAACATGATAAAAAAAATTATGTTTGGATAATCAAGTAAACCTAAACTGCTTCAGTCCTGTAAGTGGACTTGAGTTTACTTAATAAAAATCATTAAAAATTTCACAGGAAAAAAAAAAAACACTGTACCTGAAGGTGGACATTTTTAGGATGATACTAAAATAGATTTTACTTGCTAAAAAGTATGAATGATCAAACAGAAGACATTTAGTAGATTTTGTAAAACAGATTTTCCAGCATAGTTTTGATCATGTTGATATTTTAGAGGCCTTAGAAACATATGTATCAAATATGATACATAATTGTTTAAGGCTTTGTATTAACCAGATATACATCTCACATCCTCATGTTGTTGTTTCTCAGAGTTAACTTTTCACCAGTTTTCTGGGCCCCAAACTGAAAAATAAAAGATCAAACCCATCTTGATGTTCCTTGGTCATATTCTTACAACTTTACTGTAGCTTGTGGTTACAAGAGCCTACCCACACACTTAATTAGTTATTAAATAGTAAATCCAGTATTGTTCGCAGCGTTATTATAGCTCCCACAACCGTTCCTTTGGTCCACGCTGCCTCCAGTGCCCTCCAGTGTTATGGCAGCCCACAAATCCCAGCTTGAGCGCATCACTCTCTCGAATCGCCCTCTCTCTGCCTCCTGGAGCAGTGACAATACAGCATTACAGCACTCAATCCATGTCAACAGCAGCTTTGCTTGATGCCAGCTCAAAGCTTTTAAGCTAAATCTTCACCTAATGATGCTGAATGATTAGCCCTTTGCTCTTATGGCTGTCGATAGACTCGTATCAATTAGTGATTGTTTGTTTGTTTGTTTGTTTGTTAGTGTATTGAAGTAAAGCTCTTGTGCATTACAGTATTTGAGTTTCAGGTGCACTGTACAGTAGGGGTTGAATGACTTCTGATTTTTTAAAGTCGACTTTTATGTTATGAAAGTCGAGTCGAAGTCGACTAGTCGCTGATGACGTCATTAATGAACAAATAAGTCTGGAGCTGTGATAAACACCTTGTGCACAGCCATGGCATATGCCACAGTGCTGCCCACATGGCTATTGCTCATATAGCAGCACATTTTTATCAGTTCTTTTGTCTTTGGGTCGTTATATTTCTCACCGATTTCTGCTCGTTCTAAATCAGATACAGATAAAGTAGCACAGTAAAGATTACACTCATATGAATGCATTAGTGAGAGCGATTGCGTGTCTGAATTAATTCTGCCTGGCAGCGTCTCTACTAATAGTGAAGCTGTGGAATTTAGTTATTAAGAAATATATGCTTGAACTTTTCAGTTTCTAAGCTATTTTATTGAGAAATCACAGAACAGTGTTGACAATACATTTCCGCGCTGAATGATTCTGTGTGCGTGATGTATGCGCTACTGTCTGTAGCCTATGTGTGTGCGTTACAGTGCAGCAGCACATTAGATTAGAACGGCGATTAACTTACCTGTAAAATAAGCTGTTTAAAACTTGCATTCTCCTGTTCATTTTCGAGCATCCAGTAATATAATCACACATGTCTTGTGGAGCGCTTTCAGAGTATGCATTTATTTGTCATTTTAACTGTTTGGAAACTGAGCGTAAATGTGGAAGTCCTTCAAAGATTTCTTATCTTGTTGCGCCCTCTATAGGACCAGCGACTACTCGACTTCAAGCTTAAAGCGTCATGGCAGAGCATTTAAGTTGACTAGTCGATTAGTCCGTGCAACCCTTACTGTACAGTACATTTACTTCTACTTATTTAAAAATAAACATTGCTTTGGAATTTGAAGAAAAATTAGGGTGCCAAATTCTTGCCATTAGGAAATGTAATATTAAATATGAATTTCATTGAATATTTAACATGAATTTTCTTTCTAATTTTGTGAGCTCAGATTGGATTGCAGTAGAGTTTTGGTTTTGTTGCATTTTTTCTGCAGTCTTTGTCTTTTTGTGTTCATGACAAAAAGACAAAGTTTATGTGTGTGTGCAAATGTAATACAGTGGCAGCCCTGTCTCCTGTTGTGAAGCAGATGTTGCCCTCTGTTTTTACCCACCTCTGCACCCTTTATCCCATGCCAAGTCCTAAGAAGCAATGGTGCCATGCTAAGTGAGGGACACAATGGATATGTAAAAATAGCAGAATACAGGTATGAATCTTGCGCAGGGTTGATGATTTGGATTTATTTCTTATGTTATTTTATTTTACCTGTGCTGTCTGCCAGTTTTTGTCTTCATGCATTCAAAACTCTATTTAAAACTTGAAGACATAGTAATGCTGATAGCATTTTTATTTTATTTTTAAATCTTATTTTCATTTTTTATGACATATTGTTAAAGTTCAACAGGATCATACACACAGTTTACATAAGAGGTTCATCAAATTATACAGTGCCTTGCGAAAGTATTCATACCCCTTAATTTTTGTTGCTGCCTTATGATAAACTTCTTTAAATTACTTTTTTCCACATCAATCTACACTCCATACACCATACTGACAAAGCAAAAACAGAATTGTCACAACTTCGTAAATTTATTAAAAATAAAAAACTGAAATAAGTACATTGCATAAATATTCATACTCTTAACTAAATATTTAGCTGAAGCTTTTTAAATAAACTAACCTATTCCTTAAGAAATGACTGCATTACTATATAAAAATCCTCTATTCATTTATATATTAGTATTATGCAAAATCATGACCATATATATAATTTAAGAATTGTTATACATTGAGAGTATATATTTATTATATAATACAATATATAATATACAATATATAATGTATTTTTGTACAATCAGTAATGTTAATTTTTTCCATCATTTAATATTGCCTGAAATGACTTTAAAATTATCAATCCACATCCAATGCCAAAAACAAACCCACTTCATTTTTCATTTCCTGCATAATGTGTTTCTTTGATCTTAAAATAAAACAATACATTAAATATTTTAAGGTTCTTGGGGCTGAGCAGGAAACCACTGAGCCAAACCCTACCTGAAAAACCGAAACCCAAATGCTGCTCTGAAACGCATACAACTGGAACCTTTCGACTCTGAGCCTGCAGTAAACTTGATGGAAAGGCAGAGGGCAGTAGTGCACTAAAGCAGCCCTCCAACAAGCACTCTCTCCCACACTCCCTCTTTCACAATGGAAGTGCGCCTGGGGGGGAAGTGTTGCTTTTTTAGGTCTATAAACCCGTATCCCTTAATCCCTCACCATGATTGACAATCATGATTTAGGGTATATGGTGTCCCATTCTAATCCAGCAGCACTGCTTTCATTTGCATACTTGCCATGCGTGGCCTCATTTTCGGGGGAGGCATACTGCCTGCTGCCTTTGTAAGAGATGCAGAGAGAGAGGAGAGGGAGAGAGAGAGAACAAAAAGGGAAATAAGAGATAGAAAGAGAGCTGAGAGGAGAGAGAATTTAGAAAAGAGAGTTGTCTGGCATTGAGGAGAGAGAGAGAAAGAGCAAGGGAGAGAATGATGAAAATTAGATTAGAAAGAGAGAGAGATTAGAAATTGGGAATGTTTGTGTATGTCTGCCAGGAGTGAGGATAACCGTGTGTGTGTGTACCAAAGTCAGTCCTTGCCATCTAGCCACTTCAGTATCTCTCAATTGCCCTCCAGCTCTAAAGATGCATCCCAAGGCACAGACGAGAGAGAGACAAGGAGAAAGGCTAAATTAGCATTAACTTAATTAATGAGGCATTTGTGATAACAATGTAGAAAGTCATATGACACCTGCAAATAAAACTGACAGAAGAATTATGATTTAAAACAAAATTGTAACCTTTGGAAATTAGTTGTAGGCTACTTTATAGCTTGAAAGCAGAAAGCATGCAAAATAATTTTTAAAAAGCTGTAAGTCTGAAAACAACATTGAATGCACAATAATAAAAAAAAAAGAAATCATAACAGCAGAATTAATAGTATCTGACCTTCATTTTGTATGTATATATTTTCAACTGCCTTCCTCAATGCATCGCAAAAATGTCATATGCCATGTCTTGTTTTCATACATTGAAAACTTTTGTAATTTTGTATGATATCATTATGTGTGAAGGGAAAGTCAAACATTTACAGTCCAAACATTCAAACAGAAGGTCAAACATTTACAGTCCAAACATTCAAACAAAAGGTCAATCATTCAAACAGAACGTTTTGTTGTGACAGATTTATCAATTTAGGTCCACTGCAGTTTGAATAATAATGTAGATTCATATTTTAAAACATCAAATAATCAGTTATTCAAAGATGTCAGTTAAATGCCTTTGTGGCCAAGAAAAGATCAGAAAAATATTAAAAACGATTAAATAAGTAATATAATATAATCTACAATAATAATAAGTTATTATAATATTTTAAATATACAGTACATATATAATTGTGTTTTTGTTTGTTGATGTATAATGACATTAGGTCAAACAACAATGAAATTAAAACCAATATAATGCAGTAATCATTAAGTAATAATAGCCAATATAAATAATAATTAGAATATATTATAAAATAATACAAATATTGTTATAATTAATATTGTATTTTTATTTATTTATTTATTGAGCATGATCTGTGGTGGAATATAACCAAATATAATGTAAGTGTAGTATATGTAGCATATGATATGAATGAATAATTATATTGTTAAATAATACAAAATTACATAATTATTATAATTAATATTGCATATATATTTAATGTATTTATTACTTATTTATCTTTGGTGAAACAACAATTTGAATTAAAACCAAATTTAGTCCAAATTTTTTTTAAATTGAATAGTATTATTAAATAGTAATACACATAATTATTATAATTAGCATTGCTTGCTTTTTTAATATATGTATTTATTTATTAATTTAGGATAATATTTGGTCAAAGAACAGTGGAATAAAAAATGAATAAACTGACAATGACATACTGAATCAGTGTGTATCCTGATGAATGAAAACACAGGACATGAAACACTTTTCAGTGTGTGTGTGTGTGTGTGTGTGTGTGTGTGTGTCAGAGAGAGAGCAGGTGAGTGTCTTACAGATGCTGTAGGAAGTATGATGAATCTAATCTGATTATTATCTGTCTAAGCTTTGAATTCCCGTAACTTATCCAGTGTTTACTAGACTAAGTGGTTTCAGTTCTACATAGATTATCCACATATCCACACAGATTAACACTTACCCAATTTGTTATTTACTAAAACTGAGTCTGTGCGCATTTGCGTTGTGTGCTTGTGTTGTGTGTGTGCATTATACAGCATATCTCTTGAGGCTGAAGGAGACATGGGGGGGGGGGGGGGAGA